TAATACATGATTCTTTTCGTATTGTAACTATTATATATAAAACTATTAATAGACAATAACAACGTAAACGACATTCCTTTATACAATCCTTTATGTTCCTTTATGCAATTATTGCATTATTTAATTAAATTTAATAAAAAAATTGTTTATAAATTGGCACGGACGTTATAGTTGATCACAGTGATAAAAGCTTTAAATGAGATAATTTTTTTAAATTTTATTTATAAAAATAAATAACCATAGTAATGAGGGATAATGTTGAACAAGCGTGAAATACAAAATGTGTTAGAACTTATTAGAGACATTTATCTTTATTGATAAAAACAATCCTATTCGCACCAACAGTTAGTTGTTCTTTAACTTCTAAAAATAAACTCCTAACTACATCAAATTCATCACTTTGTTACTACGGGAACACTCGAACAATGAACTTCTTGGATTATATAGTAGTTGTAAACACATTCCTTATCTATCACTTTGTTTTATGATACTTGGCCTTAAGACCGTGATACACGTGCATGTCAATTCAAACATTATGGAGTCTATCTTTACAAGTCTCCGCAAATAAAAGGACAAATATTTTATTATTTTCTGGTTCCTATCTACCTATAATATTTAATAGTATATGAGCAATGTTGTAGCTCAATCCCAACAGTACATTTTCTATAGAAGCAAACAAGCTTATCATGAGTTTTAAATGTAACCAAAAACATGCAGTAATGATGACGAGTCTACTCATATTTGACACAATAAATCTATTTATCTAATATCTGTATATATATATATATATATATATATATATATATATATATATATATATATATATATATATATATATATATAATATTATCGAATATCTACTAGGCTACGTCCAACTTATTTACCATGTCATGTACATTTATGAATCAATGGTAAAATAATTTCTTAATGAAATTAATTTATTACCTGTTAAAATATCACGCAGACTTTATATTGTGCTTCAATAGAACTTAATTAGAAGGTAATAAAATATTTTTTATATCATCACAAAAACACTTTAAACAAGACAACAACATCAAATCGAAACATTCAATCCGTTTATCGTTTTTAATTTTGAGAAACAGAAAAGAACTCTATTTAAATCGAAGCGTTTGGCATTCCATTGTTTCTGCCTGACCCAGTGCGAGACAGGCGTGACGAATATGTATGTATGTATGTATGTATGATTTGTTCTACTACTGAATATCAGTCTTGTCTTGTGGTCGGATCAGTTCTTCATTTGTATATATTTCCATTAAGTTCTATTGAAACAGTCAGTATTATATACTGTGCCGTTTTTATTTTTGCCTTATAAACATCATATGACCACAATAATTTGTTTCAATATTAATATTGTAAATATATAATAATTAAATTAATTTGACGAGTACAGCCACGTGCAAAAATATGTGAAAAGTTTAACCGTCTGTATTATTAGTCTGCTCTGCTATCAATTAAATTAATAACAATCAAATTAATCTAGCGATAAATACGTTATCACTAGATTAACGCGCGTGAGTTAAAATGAGATAACAACATCCAGCGTCTCGTTCTTCCCAATGTGCACTAATATGATATACATATTTATTGACAGATAAACTAGTTAAAAACATCCTGAAATTGTCAATAAAGACTAATGATGTGCCGGATGGTTAAAAATATACCTTTTTCATGTATATGAATATATATTCATGTATGAATACGGATCATTAGTGTCTAAATCCGTAAATATGGATCCTGATTATAGAGATCTGCTTTTAAACGCATTAAAATATTTTAATTTGTAGGTAACTTTAAAATACTGTATATATTTTAAGAAATAAAAATTCAATTAAATTCCAATTAATAGTATTTAATTTAAATTTCTATACGTATGCGTTCTAGATCCGCCAAAATTTACGGACACGAATACAGATCTTTTATCTCTCTCGGATATCCGTCAATACAGATAATATCCGGCACATCACTATTAAGTAACTAATTATAACAAGATATCAAAGTGATAACAATATCGCAAACGCACATGACATGTTCGTCTTCATGGGTGAAAACACGTGAATTGCTAGATTTTTAATATTTTACTTATAAATAAGTACCTTACAACATTTTATGTTCATAAAATAATCACATAATTTTTAAAATAGATGATGTATGTACATGAGAATATTTAAAAAAAAATTATATAAAGATGTCAGTAGGACCAAAAGAAGCCAAAACAATAATTTATAGAAATGTCATCTGTCTATCTGTGTCTTTATGCCGGTGTCACGTAAAAACTACTGCACGAATTTTGGATACGGTTTACACTGTTGTGTTCCTGAATGTCTAACTTAAAATCTGGTGTATGTTTAATTTTATTACGTCATCTAGAAGTGATATCATTGCATTTCTTACTTCTGAAATCTAGCATCCGACGTAGCGGGCAAAAGCTAATACAGAATACAAATGAAGCTACGCCACAATTAAAGGCCATAAGCGAAAAAAATCCCACAACAAAGTCACGGTCTATTAATAATATGGTTAAATATAAAAAGACATTATTATTCTCGGATCCACCTTAAATCGCTTTAACAATTGCCTCCTTAATTTTCATTAAGAAATGATATGATAAAATTAATGTAAAAGAACATTTAAAATTACATATAAATGTTATATTAAATTTAACACGATTAATAAATAATTGTAAATATTAAAAAGAAATCAATTTAATGTTTAAACATATTAAAATAATAATATAGTAATATGACACAGTTGCTTCGATTCTTCAATTTATAAATAGCAGTTTTAAGTAAAATAGTTGTAGACTCCAACACGTTTTATGAATGTTATGCAAAACCAGTTAACCCTGTTGGGTTAATTTTTTTTTTCGAGATTAAAACTTTCTTTATCTATCGAGTTGGAGCAAACAATTTATTTATAAAATTTTGCAAAAGAAATGGTAGAGTCATTTCGAAAATTAGCATCAAGAAACACCGTGACATGGGACTTTTATATTTAAATTTGTTTATAAAGGAAGGAAATTAACAATCATTTAGGTTAAAATATAATCATTAGCTTAAGTTTACCTCGATATTAATATTACCTAAACTATCGTTAATTCCCGTCCTTTTTAAACCAAGTATCATGCATCACGTAAGTCTAAAATTGTACCTATTTTTGTTACTTATCTATTTCGTTGTTGTACAAATAAGGTAATTCGATTCACAATTTTATAACTATAGAATCATTCGAATATTTCAAACATGCTGTTGACATTGATGCATGCAACTAATCATAGGAGTGGTTGTGTTTACATTAGTATCTTGAAATATTTAATAATAAAGTGAAATAATAGATTACAATTCAAATATCAAGGATACGATACTTAAAGACTGTTTGCCAAATTTCTATAGTCTCTTTTTTGTATTAATCAAATAAATAAATATCGTGTTATGCAGTTGAAATAGAAATTAAAAAATAACTATGAAAAGTAAACGAAATATGTCTTATATATGTACAACGAATTTATGGCATTACTTCTGTGAGCTACACCATCCATTTCACACTACAATTAAACATGCATTAAACCAAGTTTAATCACCACTAATACGGTTAACCTTTTGACCGCCTGATTGTTTTGCAGTTTCCTTGCTCGTAGCGTCCGATTCATCATTTCCTAATAGTTCTGATTATGACAAAGGGCTATTGTTATATAGCTCTTTTCCATTACTATATTAATGTAGTAAGCAATTAATAAATCCTACGCACGTTAACCTTTATTGGATAAATCAGACTGGAACAGTTAAGGTTAAATATATATATTAAACCTTACCTTTTTGAGAGAAACAATGGTTCTAAAAGTTACCTTCATTTAAATAGAACCGTGTTAGCATTCATGCAAAAAATAAATGAAAACCAGTTACATTTTAACAACATGAAAAATATATCAAAATATATAATCCCCATAAACCAAATAACATTAAATAAAAAACATTTTAATAGCAGAGATCTTGTATTAATAACTCGTATAAATATAATTTCAATTACTATAATTACTGTTGGAATATCTAAACTATATTACATCCATCGAGAATAATGAAGATCTTATCAACTTTATAATAATACATATCATGAATGGAAAGTTTCAGTCTTAGCTCACGACAACTGATGACACACAAACTTGTTCAACAATAAACGCGTAGCACTAAACAATAACGAACAAATTTTAATATCGCATATTTAAACTTTGCTTATATCAAATATACATAAGTAAACTATATACGTATATGACTCGAGCAATATTTAAAAAGCCGCCAAAAAATTATTTTCTTGACATGTTTTCTCATGTTAATAGTTTTTTTTTTTTTATTTTTATATACATTAGTGACTAAATAGGATGCCTAATAATGTATAATATACAAATAAAAAGTAAAAAATATTGTTTAGTATGAAAGTAAAAATACCTTTATGTGGGCACATTGAGAAATAACATATATCACAAAATTTTCATAATGTAAGTAAATGTGCACATTATTAATGGCTTCGCTATATACTTATTAATGAGAAATTTGGGCCATAAATATAGTCATATCTTACCAAATGGCGTAAATGTCACTTAGAACACTTTAATGTTTACATCTTGGTAGACAGAATGTTTACTAAATTTGCAATCTAAGTAAAATAAAAACTTTTATATTACAAAATTAAAATTTTCTTAAAAGAAATTGAAACTGACTTATTAGTTTTTCTATTACCATTGTAACAGAGAAATAAGCATGTAATAATAGCAAATGAACAGCGAGTTAATTCGTCGATTTTTCGCTCGATTGCCACATTTATTGGGTTATTGAGACTTGACATATAGAATTATAGAATAATTGAAACGATCGCTTGTGATCTTTGAATATACATATGTTGTAATGACCGAGAAGTATAACAAGCCAATATCAAATGGGTATTCATGATATTGAACAATATTCTCTGCTTATGCTCAATCGAAATAATTTGTTTTACTTTTCATACTAAATCTATAATGTAAACCAGCCATGTAGGAGAACAGTATGGAAAGTTTAAAATTTATTACCGTATTTCTTTGTTCTTGGAGAAAAATTATTCAGTTTTACAAATTTATTAATTAAAGAATGAATGGAAATTCTTTGTTCCCTCCATAGAATGATGCAGATTATAAAGATTAACAATATCTGTACAAAAAATAATAATAATAACATTAACATGAGCATTTTTCTTTGTTATTTAGTTTCACTTCTTGCTCCAAATAGCTACCGTCTTTTTCTTTTCTCCTCTATCCTAAGGTTGTCTGAAAGAGAATACTTTAGCGATAAGACCGCATTTTGTACTTCATAAGTAATATATACATATCTTTATATTATTCTTTAGTGGTTCAATAAAGAAAAAAAAAATAATAATAAAATAAATTTAATTACACAACAGTAAAATAAAGAGGCAACAACGGGCGGCCTTATCGTTAAATAGCGATTTTTTCCAGGCAACGTAGATGGAGAGAATTTATAATTGGGGCTGATCATGGCTTAACAGAACAATAATAAGACTAAAAAGGGAAGAAAAATGGGGCTAAAGATAAATTTTAACGCAGTATAAATAATAATATAATTACATATATATACATATATAATATGGACTTGTTATTTTCTTTTTAATACATGTTATATGCTGTTTTGGAGTTATGACACCTAGATGTGTACAAACTATACTTAAATTAGATATATACTGATTTTGGTACATTAGATATGTACATAATCTAATGTACCAAAATCAGTCTAAATATAATTTGTTGTGAACTGTAAAGACATGATTTTGTTTAAAAACAAAATATAGAATAAAAAGATAACTTAATTTGATACTCTACGTCTACGTAGCTTAAAATATATTATTTTTTTTACATATATTTTCAAGGATAGTATAAACATTCGTCTTTATTTCTCTGTTAATTTCAATTTTAATATCATATATCTCGAAAATATTAATTGAAACTATTAAACGCAACAGTCAATTTCTTGGATTAATTAATTAATACCAATCAAAGCGCCTAACAACAATTGTATGACGAAAATCAACTGACATCGTAATCGTACGCATCCTACCCGACCACAACCGACCACTTCCGAAGTGCATTCGTAACGCCCGACATTACGCGCGAGCGGTATTCGTTAGAGCGGTGAGAGCGCGCGGTCACAGTGGCTATTGGTCGCTGGGCCCCACACGCGAGGCGGACGCGGGCGCGGGCGCGGAAACGGAAGCGGAGCCGGAGGTGGACGCGGCGGTGGGCGCGAGCAGCACGCTGACGTCCCACACCTTGATGACGCGGTCCTTGCCGGCCGTGCACATGCGGCCCGTCGCCTCGTCCACGTACAATGACGTCACTGCATGCTTCATATCGTGGAACGATGCGAGCGACTCGCGCCTGTGGGTGTACACGCCTGTGCTATACTGTTCGCCGCGACCATTTTAAAGCTTAAATAGTTGACGCTTATACACGTCAAATTGTTTTTGTTATCTATGATCACGCCAAATTCTTGAAGGGTAGGCAGAGAGAAATGAGTTCCAATCATGCTTGTCAGGTAGTATTAAAATCTTGTTCGAATTATTTGCCAGTATCAACATATGGGATCAGTTATTTTCTATTATTTTGTACAGTTCGGAAGCAAACAACAAAATTAATATTCAAAATAGATTTGTAGAAGGTGCTTTTAGTTTTTATTAGTAAGGGATTTATTCTCCATCGTTTATTACTTTAAATGCAACATAAAATAAATATTTCTCTTGTTGCTGTACTTATTAAAGTTAGAACATCTATCGAAAATGCGCATAATTCAGGCACATACTTCCATTAGTATTTGTGGATGTACGAGAAATAACAAATGTACTCACGGTTCGTGCCTAAGAGTATCATAGCAGTGCGTGCACACGCGCTGCGGGAACTCAAAGCCCATGACGGGCAGCGGCAGCCGGTGCGGCGAACACGTCGCGCACACCGCAGCCCCCGCACCAGCGGCAGTGGTGCTGCCGCAACCCTGCCCACATATTGTTTCATTTACTACGACTAGGGGAGACAAACAAGCTCCAAAACTATCTGTTGGGAAGATTTTTTTTTTTACTACAGATCATGATTTAGATTATTAATGAATGCAACCTAATTACTTTTTTTATTAGAATTATTTATTTTAATTCCGCTATTATTAATATGTGTGCGACCGTCCACACTCGAAGACTGACTACTATTATTATTAGCAAATGTTCTACAACTTTCCATATTAACTATCAATTTCTAATCATCAATCTTTGAGTGTTGGCAAGTGCACACATTTTAATGGTAGCGGAACGAAACCAAATAATTCTAATAAAATAACCAGTGATATGGAATTCCGCAAAATAACACCCATTTCAGTAAAATATTCAACTTAGAATGGCAAACAAGCGGACGGCTGATGGAAAGTGGTAACCGTCGCCTATAGACATGAGCAGTACCATGGACATAACAGAGTATACTGTTTCGCCCATGATACCCCCCATTCGTTGCCATTCCTGAGGACTCAGGTGTTATTCCTCTGTACCCTGTAAATTCACGCCATATCCCACCCTTCAAACCGAAACACAGTGATTAATTTATCACTATAAGCTCATTGTGATGAAGGAGTATGAAATCAGATCAGTTAGCTAACTTCAACCTCATCATTCTTCGTTCATCACAACTAATATTACAGGCAAAATTATCATTTCATTTTCATCCAGGAAAAAATAATTCACATAAATGTTATAGTAACAAAACTGATTCATATGTGAGGATGTGGACGGTACCGTACAATAAAAATAACACTATGCCGAGGGACTGTGGTTCTTCGACAAACCAAAACTGAAACTAGCTAAAAAACCTCGAAAATAAAATCCGGGAACAAGTTGGACTTTGCAAGGAAGGCAAAAAAAAATTTTATAGTATGACAGTGACAACGAACCTAACTGCTTCATCTCCATCATGGCGCGCACGTTCCATATGAAGGGCGCGTGGCAGATCTGGCACAGGTCGGCCTCCTTCCAGGCGGGCGTCTCGCGCCGCCGCACGCCCATCTCCCACACGCCCAGCGCGCCGTCCTCGCCCGCCGACACCAGCCGCTCGCACCCACCCACGTACCACAAGCCCGTCACCTTATTACTGGGGAATAACGCAACAGCTTATTATACTATCTTTTATATGCAATTTCGTCCACGTGACTAAGGTATTGTTCTGATATAATATCCCGCTAATAATATAGTCTATTTAGATTTACCCATATCTATTTAGTCAATTAGGATAAGATAAAAACTAGTAACCAACCTTCTCTAACCAACATAGTAGGTATATATATTCCATGGTGATTAAGACGTTAAGTCGCTGAGAGTTAAAAATAAATATATTGTCACATTTATATTACTATGGAAGTCCAGGGTGTAACCAAAAAGTCACTAATCTATAGGCTTGAATATTTTACTCTTTTATGAAATGGTAAACAAGCTGACAGTTTACCTAATGAAAAGTGGTAATCATAACCGCCTATAAAGACCACAGTGGACATTTCAAAGTATGTGTGCCTCTCTTACATACCGGGTCATCAGCATACCTCTGAATGTGTAAAAAATACTTTTGGTCATTCTACGAAGACCTATTTTAACTATGGATACTTAACTATTGCTGTTCTTGAGAACTAAGGTGTTATGTATCATAGCTTATTCTAAACAACATACATAAAAAACATAGATATTTATATATAAGTGGATAAAAGAAACTTACCATTTGTAGCTTCTGAGAAATTATCGAAATCCAAATTTTAAAACAATTTATGAAATTATTTATAAAGTTAGATATTTACCTATGTCCTTGCAGTTCATACGCTGTGCCTTTTTGTCCACCAATATCCCATACAATGATTGTTTGATCGAAGGAACCGCTAAACAGTAACTGGCGTATTGGAGCCCAGTTCAATACTCTTACAGAACTGAAACATATTTCATCTATAATCACATGTGTGAACTTTATTGAAATACAATGTTTATTTCAAATTTTTCGATGGCATTTCTTAAGTTTCAATCAATTATTTATCTTTCAAATTTCACCTAATATAAGTTAAGAATGTATCTACAGAATATACTAGCGACCCGCCCTGATTTCGCACAAGTATAAAATTTCTGCAATAATTAAATTTTGATTTATCCATAAACATCGGTTAAACGCATTCAAATATTAGGGTGAATACATATCATGACAGGATTTTATATATTAGGATTAGGACGAAAAATATAGTGAATAAAAAATTAAAAAAAGAGGAATTTTCTATACTGACTTAAGAGTTAGAACGTGACATAATACTGTGCAAGTTTCATATTTTTTTTATTGATAGATTTTTCTAATGAAAATATTCACTTTTACTAATAGTATACTCCCATAAAGAGATGCTAATACTTTAGACTGCATTTTAAGATTGATACGCCGTGAGGTCCCAGTATAGAATGAGCCACCCCTTCCTTTCATGTGGGTGTCATAAGAGGCGATTTAAGGAATATTAGGCAATAGACCGAGGGATGGGCAACAGTGTAGAATATGATCTACCTTTATCCCAAATTTTATTCAACAAATATCTAAATATCTTTATTTATTTATTGTCACATCTTTGCAGACTTTCAAATTAATACTCATAATCTATTTATACTTGGTATATTTAATAAAAAAAATCTCAACGAGAGCAACGAAATAATAGCGGATATAATGAAGAAACTAAAAAACAAAATTGTTTTTGTGATAACATATATAAACAATGAGTTATTGTATATTATATTTTGTTTGTCTATGTTAGTTAAAAAAATATGCCAAATTGTATATTAAATAGTTCAAATTATAAAAATAAAAATACGAAATTTAATTATAGTACAAAAACATTATACACTCACCCAGTATGCCCCTTCAATGTAGTGACTAGAGCAGCACCATTATTGTCTAATTTTAACATAGTTATCTGCCCACTGTAATCACCCACAAATGCATATTTTGATTGTGAGTCAAACCTGATGTTATATATTTAGGAAATAATATTGGATAACAGTTTCCTATTTCATATTATCATGACTTGTTAACTGTTATCAATGCTCGCCGTTGATTACATTTTAACGTAAATGTAGTAAGTACCATTGATTATATAAATGACAATGAATTTTTAATAAAAACGTATTTTATTTGCAATATTATTTTTTCTAGATGAGGTTTTATTTAGGGTTAGGTTAATATATCTTGTGCCTACTGTTCACTAAAACATGACTACACATATTAAGGAAAAATTAAACAAGTCAATGAGTCACTTGATGTACAATTATAATTAACTGTTACTATCATCTTAAAGATGTAAATAGTATCAGGATTATGAGAGGATAATTATACTGTGATATTCAGAGATCACCTCATGGATTGCCTGTTCTGAGAACAAAGATATACTACCTCTTACATATTTAACATAAGAAGAATTACAAGAAATAATAAACAAATTATTACACTGGACATTTTGTGATTCTAATTGAATCCTAACTATATTAATAGCAACTCAGTCTACTCATCAATTTCTTTCCTAAATGTCCTATTTATATTAGAAAAAATAAACTATAAAAAAGGATACTGTAGAGCTGTACACCACGCTTCAAAAGAGTACCCACCAATCCTGCGGCCGGTCTCACTGCAGTGATAGGAGAACAATTTGTCTCTGCTCACTGACAGCACCCACTCACAACTTAAGGAGAACACAACAGCCGTTACCCGTGCAGTGTGTGCTAGGTACTCCCGTGTCTAGACATATAAAAAAAATCATCTTTTATTACTGTCACTTAAACTATAAATTTATACAGATGTGTGAAAAATTTGAATGAAATAAATTTTATTTAGGTTGACAGCATGCCCACCCCTTTGGTGTTGCCAGCATTATTAGCATCAATGATGACTGACCAACAGATCCTTTACTCATAAAAAAGCCATGCAGTGCCATAGCACTATCCATGCAAGATCAACACAAATAAAATTTATTTCACTCTACAATAGTGTATACAACATATGAACATTAATATTTTAAATTTAATCACTTAATGAAATTTAAAATATTCTCCTTTACATAAATAATGTAAATTTAATTGCAATACATACAGGATTTATTCTATTGCAGTCTGTAGCTAGTGTGAACTCAGATATAGTGCCATTTTCTTGCCCAATAAATAACTGTCTGGTTTCTGGGGTATAAAACATAGATGTACAACCAGATGGCATAAACTGACAGATGCTCGGCCAATACTGCCCTGAATCACGTTTTAGCCATACTCTTACTGTTCTGTAATTAAAAAAAATCTATTAAAACCTTGTATAATACATAACAATTTTTTTTATTAACATATGAATTATATGAATTATTCCCAAAGAGGGTTGACGTCAGGCAGGTGGCCGGCCGTAAAACTAAAAACCAAGTCTTTTTGTAATATGGACAAAATCATATTACGCCGACCCCAAATTATTGGGATAAGGGTAAGAAGATGAAGATGATATGAATTATATGAATAACTAAAAAACATTATTCTATTATAATTTTTTAATCCTACAGTTCAGTGACATAAGCAAATATTTATTTTTCTACTTTACCTACATGGACAAATGACTTATAACTAACTGATTCCAATTAATTTAATTTCTGTATCTAATATAATTTATAGACAACACAATATTGCTAAAATTTAAAAATATCATCATGTACAAATGTAGATATAATAAAATACACAACAAAAGGTGGCAAATAAATATGTAGCTCATATGATAGTAAACAGTTACTATATTTATTGCTTCATAAAATGGTTACTAAAAAATATATGATTAGATGTTACCTATGGCCATCAATTTAATAAAAGTATCTTATAAGTCTAATCACAGAAAATAGACCATATTTTTTGTGTATATCAAAACATTCAAATTTATCTATACTGTATAATATATGCAGCACACCTGAGTAACATACATCTTTGTAAACTTTCACATTTATTAATGCCATAAGCAGTAAAAAAGTATTTGCAAACTTGAAAAGATATAAAAGCTGTGATAATTTACCTCACCTTAATTTGTGATTAACATTTTTGTATACTATACAGCCATTTTTATCAACATATTGTAGAAAGACAGGTGAATTTAAAATATAGTTATTTTACATATTTAAATAACAATCTTACTAATATTAAAAATGTGATGTTTATATGTTATTAACTATTACTGCTTTAACAGCTTAGCTAACTGTTGTGAATTTTGACATATATATACTATTTGGAACAAACAGAGACATAAGTTATTTATTTTTTATCCTGGTCAATTAACATATTCTATTGATGCAGGTGATGTCACAGATGAACATGAGTTTAAAATAATTTATTTTCAAATCACCTCTCAAAGGCCTATCCTAATATTATTACAGTAAAACAGTGAAGTTTTAAAATTGTCATTGACAATTTGTTGTATCTATGTACATTTTAATTTATATTATTTAAAATATGTATTAAGAACCAGACGACTTTATAACTAACACACATAGAACATATCCAACATAATTTTAATCTCTTATCTTGACTTTGTATATTTAGTAAATAAACTTGAAGTAGTTGTTTAAAATATAATAAAGAAATTACAACCAAACACAGATAACAAATTAACAAAAAATCATTGTAATCCAGTTGACATGTTGATTTATATATTATTATTTCGATAAAAAGACAATCCTTGATTGTTCCCTAAATAAATAAATTGAAAAAACAAAAGACTAAAAAATATGGATAATCATATAAAAGAATTGAAGGTTTTGTTAGTAATTCTCATGAAATTCATAAATGTTACTTGAAGCTGTATAATGATTAAGAACAAACATACGCAATTATGAAAAACTACGTCCAAATGAGGGTACGTAACGTAAAACAAATTGTAAAGGTCATAACTTGAATTTTTGTTTTATTACAAATAAGTAATGCTAAAAATTGAGCAATTAGAACAAAATGTTTTCGTGTAATAAATCGGAACTCTTACTTATCATCGCAAACGCTAATTACACCGTCCTCGCCAGGTATCACCACAGCGGCGTTTACATCGTCCGTACAACCTTCTAATTTATTTAAAAGTGCTGGTTTTTTTGTAGTGGAGAATCTATCGTTAGGTGTCCTAGGCGCAGGCTTTATTTCAGCAGCCATTATGTTAGTTAAATTGCAAATAAATAACCTTTTTACGATTGTTAATCAATCGACACTTCTTTAAACAGAATAGAATGACAGTATGACAGACTAAAACATCAAAAACCGAAACATCACGTCATATCTCTATAAACTGTCAAGTAAAGGGTACTACTATGCTCGATTTATGAGTATTGGCATAATCTCTCTCTCTCTCTTAATCTATGGTAAAGGCTAGGCTTTAAGAACAGCAGGGAATCCTTATCAGGCTAGTATAGTACAGAATAAAATATGTACGTAACGTTACGATAATGAAAGTATTTCATGTTTTAATTATCATAAAATTTTTCATACAAAAATATCCTTAATACATGTAAATTTTCTACCCTGTGTAAAAGTATCTTTTAAAAAGCAATATTGCCAGCTTAGTCGTAAGTCGTAACTGATATAGTATCTAAGTAACCTTAAAGGGATAATGTTTTTTTTTTTTTATTTTTTCATGAAAAAGGGACAATGCACAGTCTTAGAATTACCACCATTATCCAAAAAATTAAATTTCATTGGCCGTCCAGATCACAATCCACGCTATTCTCAGAATTTTTTAACTATAAAATTGTTACATATTTGAGGTCGACGTGCTTGTATGTTTTCATAATTATATATGAACCCAATTATTCTCCATATACAACAGTATACTAAGACTATATACAGTCAAAATAAAAGAGACTGATTATATTCAAGCCGAAAGGATTATACTTTCTATTATGCAAAGAGAAAGCTTTAAAATGTTTGATTTAAATCTTAAGTTGCAGATATATAGGGATGAAAATGATTTGATAGGGATCAAAATACGAATACTAATTACTTTTCAAAAGATATAGAAAATTATCGTTTACCTGCTTTATTGTCAAGTAATAATATGATTATTATAAGACTAGTTACTCAAACAAATATAAAAAAATTACATTGTGGTTTTCAAACTTTAATGAGTAAACTTAGAGAAAGTTATTAGATTTTAGGAACCAGAAAACTTGCGAAGAATATTGTAGAACAATGTATTAATTAATTTTGTAAAGGCTATGTCCACATCATCAACTCCACGTCTAGGTACTAGTTTAGTATATAGATCTCCTTTTGAAATGATAGGTACAGGCCTATTGTTACGGAAATCAGGTAAAAAGTATTGAATCGCTGTTTCCACTTGTGCCATATATCCACTATTTTATAGACTTGTAATATTTTAGGAGTAATAATTTTATATATGAAATGAAGTTTTTGTCTGTCTGTCTTGCGATGTCATCGTGAGAGGAAAAGTATGATGAGGTTTTATTTATTTTATTTAAAAAAAAAAACAGACTTTTCTTATTTTTTCTGTTAATTCATATTTGTTAATAGGGAAGATATTTAGAATATTATACATATTAAAAATATAATACATCTGTTTGCAGTCTTTTCTATTTTTAATTGTTCTACCCAAAGAACCTTTCACACAGGCCTTCTAGAAAAGTGGCAAACTAATTCACTAATGAAGTCGACATCTAATCGATTAATTCATGAAATTGAATGAAATAGCAACGCCGGATATCTCATTCCAACTCATGGACTCGCTTTCCATAATGTTTTCATCGATGGATTCGCTTGCCACTTGTCAAGGGGGTTAGTTGGAGATTGTATATGCGCCTCTTTTAAGGGCCAAGCGTTCTTGAAAAATGATCTTTAATAATCTTCCTTTTATTTCAAAATTTATATTTGCTTATTTATTGTTTATTAGCCTATTACTTTTGCGTAATTAATTTTTTGTTGTTTGGTAACACAATTGAACCATTGACAAGCAGTAGCGATTAAAAAAGGTTCATTGTGATGATGAATTTTCGATTGACACTGATTGACGGATTGACGGCATGTGTTACTGAAATAGTAGAAAATCATCATTATCTGTCAATGTGTCATCATCTAACCAGCTGGACTGCACGTCGAATATAGAGACGAACTTTAAGATTGTTCATACCGGTTGTATTGTTTGTATTACTTTATATTAGTGTTCTACAAAGACCGCATTTCAGTAAAATGGCTCAAGCATTAAAGAAATTAACTGTTCACGTGCTTAAGAACAATAATGTAGAAAACATCATCAGTGCCACAGCTATTAGAACGAACAGGTATGCCGGTTAATAAATTTAATTTACGTAATAAAGTGCAGTGTTGCAAGAAGGGTAGGGTAGAAAAGTTTGTGGAAACGAAAACTACCTAACACCAATTTTTCTGTGCATATATTATTACGATGGTTTCAAAAATACGAAATTTACGTCGCTATTTTTCTCAATGTTTGTTATAATTATTTATTGTAATAATATTTCTGTTAAGGAAAATTCTTATAAATATGGAAATACAAACAAGTAACAACTCCCGAATCGTTTATAACTTGTGCTTTTATTTTGTGCAACAGTCTAGTTATAGGGCTACCCACTAACCAGTATTATGTTTCTATTTCTGTAATGAACCTTAATTAACTCACCGGAACTAGTGTCGATTAACAGATAGGTATTCATGAGACTAGCACATTTTTTAACTTTTAATTTACAAGCTGTATTAAAGCCATTATCTTATTTTTGATAATGATATTAAGCATAAAAAAATATCATCATACCTACATATATATATTTATGATGGATGAAAATGGAATGTTTACTCCACCTGCATTATTGATTTGCGCTAATTGAGTACTAGATAAGGATAATAGGTATTAATTAAGTAAGTTATTGTTACGAATACTAGAAATTAGCTACAAGGGTATCCAAAGGGAATTTAGGTGTTTTACCTGAGCAATGGGGCCACCAGGCGCTAAATTTATTGCTTATTATCCATTTCTTCAATTTTAATACATATTAGAATGTCTACGTGAAATGTAATAATTTTAGAACCAAGGTCAACTTTGAGATATTCATGTCTACCCACTGTTGTATACATTGATTAATACAATAGAAAAACTGCAGTGAAAACTGATGATAGTGAATAATAACTGGTGGTGGACTTGAATTAACTAAGTAACTGATTTGAGGATAGAATAAAAATTCAGCTATAAATAAAATAAAATTTGATCTGAGGGTAGTCTGTGTTCCTTGAATAGAAGTAAAATTATGAAATGAAAGTAACTTGTATCAAGTACCTACAATTATTACCTAATATACTACAATAATTATCATATTTTTAACAAAGTTATATCTTTCTTTATGTAGACAACTAAAACAAGCAAATGTTTTATTTACAAAAAAAAAAGATATATTTTGTTCACTTATTTTGTGTAAATCTTATAGAATTACACAAAAAGTTTAATAATGTGATCTAGTAAGCCCTTCTTAAATGATGTTGAAATGGTTGTGTGCTGTCTAGGCATGGGGTTCTAGTGGGCGCAACTCTATTCATTCCTCCTCTGTCATTAAAACTTTCTCAAGTTTTTAGGGACCAATTTTAGAATTATCAGTCTACCCTCCTCCTTCCTATTGATTTTTAACTTACATATCATAACTATTATACAACACAAATTCATTATACATTGTTTTAATTGCAAGCTAATTTCTTAATAATCTTTTATGTGAGGTACAAAAATTTTACTACTACAATTATGTAGTTAATTAAGCATCTGTTATGTGGTTTCATATTTGGGAGTTATCATTTAAATATGTTGGATTTTGCCATAAATTTTATAATAAGGTTAGTAAAGCTGTATAATGTAATTATTAGAAATCTGTAGCTAAGTTTATAAAAAGCATTTATTTTGAATTCAAGTGCCATACATAGAATATGCAGAAAATTAGCTCATAAAATAGTATTATTAATGATATCCAATGAAATATAATATTTTTATTAACAGTTAATGCTAAGGCTTAATACCTAAAACATATAATAAGGTATAAAACTTCCCCATAAAGTAATGATACACATGTAAACATTAACTGAGCTATAGTATATATAGTAACCTTGTATTATGGATCCATATCCATTTACTTCATATTACTTCATAGAAAAAGTAATTTAATACATAATCAATAAACACTATAGTAGGTACTTTGTATGTAACTTCATAATTCTGATCCTTATCAAAATCGATTATTATTTTCTCAAAACAGCACATGGTGGGACAATGTCCAGATGGGTCCACCAGATGTAATCCTTGGCATCACAGAGGCATACAAAAGGGACACAGACCCCAAGAAGGTTAATTTAGGAGTGGGAGCATATAGAGATGATGAAGGAAAACCTTTTGTATTACCCTCAGTTAGAAAGGTTTGTATTACTTGCTTTCAATGGAAAATTATATATGAGCATATACAAAACTAGTGAATGAAAAGTTGTAGTCATTATATTATTATTGTGAGTTGTTTTAAAATTAAAATTTGAAATCATGTTACTTAGGTAACACATAGGTAATGGATGATAATAGAAAGCAGTCAAGGACAGTACTTCTAACCTGATTTGATGCTTATTCATATAAATAGGTTGGTATATAATTGTAGCAAGGAGTTTTGCAATATTTTTATTTACTTTGAAAAACTTTGACCTTCAATAATATAATATTTTATTAAATTTGTTATATTGCTGCTGAACGAGACTAACAAATCCTCATTGCTAATCTATTAGCGTAATCACCAGTCTTCTTCCTTTTTTAAATACATCTGCTATACTGCTTAAGCTTAGATGACCTTCCAACTCTAAAGGGCTGAAGACCTAACCTGTCTAGTACAAATCTCCAATTAATGTTGGCCCTAATCATTGCCAGCTTAATAGACTATAAGTTTTGCAACCTAGATTGAACAATTTTTTTTTTATTTAGGCAGAGGAAATCGTTTTCAAGAAATGCTTGAACCACGAATATGCCCCGATCGGCGGTGAGGCCGCGTATACAGAAGCTGTTGCTAAGCTAGCTTTCGGTGCGGACAGCCCAGTTCTTAAAGATAAATCTAACTGCACAGTGCAGGTAGGTGTATTATTTTTAAACATCTAAGTTTTACTCATGACTTTTATAAGTAAAGCCAAATATGTAACTTATAATGTTATATAAAATTAAATTAAATTATTTATTTTCACTTGACCGGGATATGTTTTTCGTCATATCCGGCATAAAACATAGCATATGTTCTTCTCCATCCAAGTCTCCAGTCGTGATTATTGGTTAAACCGAAAAGTAAGTAGCAAACTCATTTTTATAATTTTTGTAAGGATATTGTAATGTTGTAAATTATTTATCTTTAATTAGAAAATTGATATAAAATTACACTGACGGTCACAATTAATTGTCCAGTTATTTTGTTTACCAAAGATGTAAACAATCAATACCTATACTTTTATCGATACCTGTACTGATTTCGTTGTTTGATGGATCACAGTGTCTCCGTAGATAAACGCTTTCGAATATTCGATACATGTTTTGAAATAACAATGATGATTTATAAAAAAAAAAATATTTACCATTTATCATTTTAATCCCATACCGGTATATAATTATTTATCTACAATAATATATATATATTTTTTTTTATTTGTTTATTATATACAAACAAGAGAGTCACGTTCCTCACAATGGTAACAGACGACAAATGTCTCTGACTATCCCATTAGGGTTTACTATCGTGAACATATTTTTTGATTATTCTAAGTTATATTTCTCGTGGCAACGACGATGATGTTTCTTGGCGCAGTAACAGACACGTTGCTTTGCGTAAATAAGTTCCCGTACTCTATTCTTAGTCCAGTTTAGGGAACGATCTTTTCTAAATTTACTGGAATCTGAGGGCGCTGGACTGCGCCTGTGTTCCCAGATGTTGTCTGCATTTTCTAAATATAGTTACCATGTTATGACCATCTTTAAATAGTATAAAACGAAGCCCCTGTCTGCGGTCTTACTATTCATTTCTTTGTTTTTTCTAAATTACGCAACGAATTAGGTATGATGATGGATTCCTCTCGTTTGCTTTTTTTTATAGAAGGGTTGTATGCTTTATACTTCTTAAATAAATTTCTGTACTTAGGTATAATGTGAATGTGAAAAGGACTCTATTTTCCGCGCTTAGCCTCACATTTGGGCCATTGTGCGTATGAGTCGTGGCTAGTGCAGCCAACCTAGCTCCGTCCAGAAGCGTAGAAGCTTCCTGGGTTTTTCACAGGCCTCACGGAGCGACCTCACCGTTCCGAGGATTTCTAAACGTTGATGGGCCACAGCCTGACATTCCAGGATTACGTGAGCAGCCGTTTCTTCGGCGTTGAAACGGCCTCGACATAGAGGGCTGTTTGTGGCTCCTATTGTGTATAGATGTTTGTTTAATGGACAATGACCCGTTATTGTTCCTATCATTGTTTTGAGGTTTTTTCTGTCTAGATGTAATAAACGTTTTGATAGTCGTTGATTCAACATAGGTACGGCCAATTTTGATTGTCTGCAATCAATAGCCTGTATCCATCTTTGGTTTTGTATGTCAGAAGATCTTTGACGAATCCACATTCGAAGTTGTGAGAATGGAAGAGGAAGGAGTGGATACGGGCCTACCACCCTCGTTCCTGAGCCTTTTCTAGCTAGTTCGTCTGCAGCATCGTTACCATAAGATCCACTGTGCCCTCTTATCCATTGGAGGATAACTCGGTTACTTAGGTATATAAATTCATTGTTTGATAATAAATTGAAACGATACGAAAGCGGGACGTGGCGTTAGTTTGTTAATAATAGGTAAGCTACTTTGCTAGCAATATACCCTGTCAGGACGATATCTACGTAGTCCTCTTGCAAATCATCGTGGTTAATTTCTAGTAAACACCACAATGGACCTACCTGAGGGGAAAGGGTTTGTTAGTAATGTAGATCTAGTAGTGAATGGGGGATAATGTGGATGTATCAGTCCCATTGCTAGCAATATATCTAGTCAAGTCGATCTCTGAAAACCATCGTGCTGAATTTCATCATGATGATCATCATGAACAACTAACCTGCCCTTTCATCTCACCTATCATCCCTCACTGATGCCCCGTCAATGTATCCTATTAGCGCAGGCGGGGTTACCATTCCATTATCATCCATTGACCTACTAACCTGTTTTCATTCTCATCGTTTCTTTTTGTACTTGTTTACGACAATATACATAATTAATATAAGCTGAAATTTTCTTTCTCTCGCTCTTCAATTTTCATCCGTTAAGTAATATCCAAACAACAACAATAAGCCACTATGATAATTACTCGGCGTCTTCAAAAAGTGATAATTTTATAATTTAGGTTTTGTTCCATTACTTAATTTTAAATTTTTGCATTGTTTATATAAACGTCTTTGATAAAAGAAGTTAGTTTTATATCTAGGTACTATTTACCTGTATAATGTTCATTTTAAATCCCGATTGCGATTTTAAAATATTTGTTCCATTAAATAAAAATACAGCAAATTCTGTTAAATCTAAAAATATAATAATCAAAATCAGTTCAGGGATATACGAAGATATTGTGTAATAAAAAAAAAAATAAGGAGAATAGAGAATTAGCTCTCTTTTAACGTTGTTCAATCCTGTTCATTATAATTTGCTGGCGACATTCAAAATGTTGAAGGTCATTTTTGCATTTAATGTAAACACTTGAAATTTGTGTATATCTGATAAGATAAATTTATGTAATGCCCATTACGTTGCATAGATTCTTATCGGGTTCCTACCAAACTCCATCATTCATCATCATCACTGTTTCATAATCATTGTGTGATAATTATCTCTATGAACTCGGTACTTGTAGTTACCAGGAGGAAACATAATTTATTATTTTTCCTTACTTTCGTGTTCGCAGTCATAATCCTTAACGGGGTAATCAAAGGCATTTGTGTACTGTTACCTTTGTTGTGAACATATAATTTACAGGGTACAGAGGAATAACACCTGAGTTCTTAGGAAAAGCAATGCATGGGGGTATCATGGGCGAAACAGTATACTCTGTTATGTCCATGGTACTGACGACGGTTACCACTTTCCATCAGGTTAGCAGGTTAGCTTGTATGCCATTCTAAGTTGCATAAAAAAAATCATTTGATATATCTACATCTCGCGTATAATATTTGAACGGTGTGGACTGCCGTTCGGTGAGCGTGGACTGTAGGGGCGTTGGTTCAGGCTGGAGTGAAACACAGCGATTACTATTCTGAAGCCTCCGGTACCGTCTGAAGAGAGTATTTTTTCTTCTTGTCCTATTTCTTCTCGAGTGTAGTGCGTCGCTGCCCGGAAGCGAATGCCGCTCGACGGGAGGCGGCCTATCTTTATACTCGCCCGCTCGCACGATAACATTTCCAACTCGCGTTAGCGAATCTGTGCGAGCGGGACGGGGTGAGAGTGAACGAGACGCGTGTCTCTTCAGATCGGTACCCTATAGCGTCTATTTATTTATTACAATTTACAATTTCTTAGTTCTATTTATTGTTACAATTTCTATTTCTATTCGTAGGTAATAATGACAACACGTAAAGAATGCTTTATTTGACTTACACTATAGGTATCTTAAATCTATGTAAATCTATATAAAATAACAGTATACAAACGATTAAACTAGGGACTTAACAACTATAAATTACGATTACATATATACAAATAATGTCGCGAACATAATCTCCCGCCGCAGCTCTCGTAGCTGGAGTTAACTCGTGTTCGCGTCGCTCGATGTCGATGTGGGCAGTATGATCAGCTTCTTAGTGGGTCGCCGTAGAATGCCCTTGTTCGTCCGCACGTCGACTGCTCGGATCTCGCCGTCTGGTCCAGGGTAGGTTGCCACCACCACGCCTCGCGGCCACGTGTTGCGAGGCAAGGTCCCATCAGCTATTAGGACCAGGTCGTCCATTTTGATGGCTCCGTGTGTAGCTCGGGGCTCCCGCCGGTGTTGCAACTCGGGTAGGTACTCCTTCACCCACCGGTTCCAGAAGCAGTCAGCTAGCCTCTGGCTGGCACGCCACTCCTTGTGTCCCGCCGCGTCGCTCTCGGTGAAGCTGCCTGGCAGTGGGACGCGCGATGGACCGCCCAATATGAAGTGATTGGGGGTTAGGGCGCTGTCGTCGTCTGCCGATGTTGACACGTGGGTTAGCGGTCGACTATTGAGGGTGTGCTCGACCTCGACCAGCAGAGTGTGGAGGACCTCTTCCTTGGGGGCCCGCTCGTTCAACGTAGCGGCTAGTGCGGTCTTCACGCTACGCACCAACCGTTCCCACGCACCTCCCATGAAGGGTGCGCTCGGGGGAATGTAGCGCCACCGGATGAAATGAACTGATGACTCTTCTTGGATGGCTTCCTCGGCTGCTTTCTTCAGTTCGACGTCAGCACCTTTGAGGTTGGTGCCTTGGTCGGACCATAATTCCGTGGGACACCCTCTGCGGCTTATGAAGCGCCGCAGGGCCATTATGGCGGAGTCCGTGCTGAGGCTGCCGGCGATTTCTAGGTGGACTGCGCGCGTCGTTAGGCAGGTGAAGAGCACTCCGTATCGTTTCTGGTGAGTGCGGCCCACTGTCACGGTCATAGGCCCGAAGTAGTCTAGGCCGGTGAACGTGAACGGTCGCTGATGATGCGCCAGCCTGCTCTGTGGATGGTTGCCCGTTGATGGCTGCGCCGGTCTTGCTCTTCGTAGGCGGCACAGCTGACACCTCTTCAGTTCACTGCGGACGGCGTGTCGTAGGCGCAACACCCACAAGTGTTGTCGCACCTCGTTCGTGGTGATCTCGAAGCCGCCGTGGTGAAGTTTCCGATGCACCCATGCGATGTATAGGCGCACCCAGGTGTGGTTTCCGTCGACGACGGGGGGCTCTCGTTGCTCGGCTGACAGATCGGCGGCGGCTGCTATTCTCGATCGAAGTCGCAGAATGTCGTCGTTGTCTATGACGACCGACAGCTGTATGAGTCGACTGGATGACGGCAGCTGTTTTCCATGTTTCAATGCTGCGATTTCGTTGCCGAACGCCTCTTGTTGCATCGC